GATGTAGGCTCCCTATTTACCTCTCTTATTGTTTCTCTTGCTGAGAAAAAACTTTTTAGTTTGAGTAAGTCCCAATTGTTGATTCTTGATTTTAACTCTTGAGCTACAGGAATTTGGAGCCCGACCCCACGAGATGGAGAGTAGAGCCAACTTTTTATTCTCTTATACACAGAGTTTCTGGTTTGATTCCTAGCTCCTTAATCCATTTTGAGTTAACTTTTGTGCATGGTGAGAGACAGGCATTCAATTTCATTTTGTTGCATGTGGATTTCCAGTTTTCCCAGCACCATTTGTTGAAGATGCTATCCTTTCTCCATTGCATACTTTTATCACCTTTGTCTAATATAAGGTAGTTGTAATTTTGTGGATTGGTTTCTGTGTCCTCTATTCTGTACTATTGGTCAACTTGCCTGTTTTTGTACCAGTACCATGCTGATTTTGTTACTATTGCTCTGTAGTATAGTTTAAAATCTGGTATCGCTATACCGCCTGTTTCATTCTTCCTGCTTAGGATTGCTTTTGCTATTCTGGATCTCCTATTATTCCAGATGAATTTCATTATTGCTTTTTCTATTTCTGTGAGAAATACTGTTGGGATTTTGATTGGCATTGCATTAAACCTATAGAGTACTTTTGGTAATATCGCCATTTTAATGATGTTTTTTCTGCCTATCCATGAACAAGGTATATCTTTCCATATTCTAAAGTCTTTTTTTATTTCTCTCTTTAGGGTTCTGTAGTTTTCATTGTATAGGTTGATTTCCATGTATTTCATTTTTTTTGAGGATATTCTAAATGGGGTGGTTGTCCTCATTTCCATTTCAGTGGATTTGTCACTGATATACAGAAATGCCTTTGATTTTTGGGTGTTGATTTTATATCCTGCCACTTTGCTGAATTCATTTACTAGCTCTACAAGTTTCTGAGTAGAACCTTTTGGGTCTTCTAGGTATAGGATCATGTCATCTTCAAACAGTGCTAATTTAAGTTCCTCTTTTCCTATCTTTATGCCTTTAATTTCTTTCGTCTGTCTAATTGCTCTGGCCAGTGTTTCGAGAACTATGTTGAATAGAAGTGGTGAGAGAGGGCATCCCTGTCTTGTTCCAGATTTTAGAGGGAATGCCTTCAATTTTTCTCCATTTAGAATGATGTTAGCCTGAGGCTTAGCATAGATAGCTTTTACAATGTTGAGAAAAGTTCCTGTTATCCCTAATTTTTCTAGTGTTTTGAACATAAAGGAATGCTGTACTTTGTTGAATGCTTTCTCTGCATCTATGGAGATGATCATATGCTTCTTATTTTTAAGTCTATTGATGTGGTGAATAAAATTTATTGATTTCCATATGTTGAACCAGCCTTGCATCCCAGGTATGAATCCTACTTGATCATGGTGCATAATCTTTTTGATATGTTTTTGTATCCGATTTGCCAGAATTTTATTGAGGATTTTTGCATCTATGTTCATTAGAGATATTGATCTGTAGTTTTCTTTCTTTGAAGTGTCTTTGTCTGGTTTCTGAATCAGGGTGATATTGGCTTCGTAGAATGAATTTGGAAGAACTCCCTCTTTTTCTATTTCCTGAAATAGCTTGAAATTATTAGTGTTAGTTCTTCTTTAAAGGTTTTGTAAAACTCTGCTGTATACCCATCTGGTCCTGGGCTTTTCTTGGTTGGTAGTCTTTTGATGGCTTCTTCTATTTCCTCCTTTGATATTGGTCTATTTAGGATGTGTATAGCCTCATGACTCAATCTGGACATATCATATGACTTAAGAAATTTATCAATGTCTTCACTATCCTCTATTTTATTGTAATATAAGGTTTCAAATAATTTCTGATTATCTTCTGTATTTCTGTTGTGTCTGTTGTGATATTGCTGTTTTCATCCTGTATGCTGGTAATTTGAGTTCTCTCTCTTCTTCTCTTCATTAGCCTGGCTAAGGATCTGTTGATCTTATTTATTTTTTCAAAGAACCAACTTTTGATTTTGTCAATTTTTTCAATTGTTTCTTTTGTTTCAATTTCATTGATTTGGGAGGTTTTTTAAAACTTATTTTTTATATTAAGGTTTGAATCCTGGAGTGTTCAACCATTGACCCACATATGAAGCCCTTTTTATACTTTATTTAGAGACAAGGCCTCCATAAGTTGCCGAGGCTGGTTTTGAACTCAAGATCCTCCTTCATTAATCTCCCAAGCTGCTGGGAATACAGGCATGCACACTGGGCCTGGAATGTGGCATTTTTTTTCCTCATGGATTTTGGAAAGCTAGTACTTGGGGGAATAAATTTGGCCTAATGTCATTGCATTGTGCAGCATAAATTCCATAATTTTTTTCATTTTTTCTTCTTTTTTATTGTGGCATTATAGTTGTTCCTATTGTAAATCCCATAATTTATTCTGATATCATGATGATTTGTAATGATTGCTCTGTATCTACTTTTTAGGAGACAAATGGGAGGATTAAAACACAAATCCTGGGAGAGATCTAAGGTAATTTGTATTCAACAGAGAAAACAGAGTGTCTTAAGAAAATTGTAACATGTCCTATAAATTTACAAAAAATCAAACAAGCATGTTATGAAATATAGTTATTCTTATTTAACCAGATATTTGAACTTTAAGATACATGTTTAGTGGTTTAAAAAAAATAATTGATTTTTGACAGTGTTCACAAACTGCTTTTTTGATATCACAGTTTTAGTACTAGTTATGAGAAGCCATGTTTCTAAGTCTTCATTAAATTTACTTTCAAAGAGTTTGGACATGACTGAAAGCCAGTACTTTTCCTGACACTGGTAATAGTGTAAGTGTAATACCAAAAAATCTACATAAAAGCATTAATGAGTCAACCATAAATTGCCTTGTAATTTTTTTTTTTTTTTTTTTTTTTTTTTTTTTTTTTTTTTTTTTTTACCGAAGTCATATGGTAGGTTCTGGAAAAATTTAAATAGGTACTCAGCATGGAAAAACCTTTAATGAGATTTCAAATCTTAGTCTTCACTAGGACTTTCCCATTAGAATAAGTCCATGTGAAAGGAGTATGTATGGACAAATGTTAATGTATCTCTTTTTCCTTAATAGGTACATTATATCTCACTCTGCAAAAAAAAAATCATATGAGAATGAAGAGAGTGGAGGGAAGCTATACAAACTTAAGCTGAACACATCTTTCATTTCTTGCACAAGTGTTCAAAGACAAGATTTTCCATAAATGAACCTTATGAATATATCTACATGTGGAAAAGAGTTGAGTTGTTCCATGTGTTTTTAAAAATATTGACAATCTCACACTGGAGAGATGGCTTACAGATAAAAACAATGTGGGAAAACCTTCACTCATTTTCCTTACTTTCAAATTCATACATGAACCTACTGGAGAGAAGCCCTATGAATGTAAACAGTGTGGGAAAACCTTTGTTTATTATACTTCCCTTCAGCTATATAAACAAATTCATACTGGAGAGAAGCCCTTTGAATGTAAGCAAGTGGGAAAGCCTTCAGTACTTCCTCTCACCTTCAAATACATGGACCATATCACACTGGAATGAAAACCTATGAATGTAAACAATGTGGGAAACCCTTCACCATGTCCTCTTACCTTCAAAGACATAAACAAAGTCATACTAGAGAGAGGCCCTATGAATGTAATTAATGTGGAAAAGCCTTCAATTGTTCATTTTACCTTTACAGACATGAATGATTTCATAATGGAGAGAGGCCTTACAGTTGTAAACAATGTGGGAAAGCCTTCACTAGTTGTACTTCCTTTCCCATAACTGAATGACTCATACCAGAGTGAATGATGTTATTGATATAACAGTGTGTGACAACCTTGGCTACATCCAGTCACTTTCATTCAATGAGAGAACTCATGCTGGAGAGATGTTCTGTGAATGTAAGCAATGTGGGAAAGCCTTTACTTGTTGCAGTTACATTTTAAAACATCAAGCAACTCATACAGGAAAAAAAATTTCTACTAAAAAAATGTGGAAATGACTTCCATTTGGGGGTTCTGTTTTAAACCTAAAAGTAGTTGTATTGGAGAAAAGCCCATTGAATGCAAAAAACATGACAAATCATCTGATATTTTCAGTCATCTTCAATAACATGAAAGTATTCATAGAAAAGTTAGAGAGAGAGAAAGAGAGAAAGAGAGAGAGAGAGAGAGAGAGAGAGAGAGAGAGAGAGAGAGGGAGAGAATATATGTATATAATGAAAGTACTCACAATATAGAAGAGGCCCATGAATTTGAGAAATGTGGGAAAGCTTCCAAATTTCCCAGTTCTTTTGAAAGACAAAAAATTCACACAGGTCAAAACCTATGCAAGTAACTGAAAGAACGAACAAGGCTTGTCGTCAGAGCAAATGCCCATTTATTGAGGAATAGCTCTGCATTTTTATAGAGCCAGGGGTGGTTTGACAGTTGGCATGGGGTGCTTTTTGATTGGATGATAAGGAGCAGGTGAGCCAGCAGGGCTAGTCTGATTGGTGAGTAGGATAAGGTGAGCGAGCAGGGCTCTGATTGGTGGATAAGGATCATGTGATCCAGCAGGGCTCTGATTGGTGGGTAAGGATCATGTGATCCAGCAGCAGGGCTCACCATTGGACAGTGATGGGGGATGGGGAAGTTAGTCTTTGGAGCCGGGGGGGACTCCCAACATTCCCCCCACTTTGTTATTAAATTAGACTTGGCATCGACTTATTCTGGCAGCTTCCTGCTGAAATGGGGCTGTGTGGGAGAAAGAGGAGGGAAGTAAGGAGCCCCTACAGGAGGGCAGAGAAGACCAGTATCAATGAAGGTTCCTTGCCACCACAGATCCATGATGACGTCAATCCATTCAGCATAGGTCTCGACTGGAGGTATCATCAGTAGCCAGGAGTTGGTAATTCCTGAGGAGAAGTTGGTTAAAAGCTTGATTAGAGATTTTACCCACCTGAGTCTGAATGAACTTTATGATAGGGGGAAAGAACAGGCATAGGGAGTTTTTATAGCCCAAATCTAATGGGGTCTCTGGGTCTGCAAGCTGCCTTGTTGGCCCAAGGGGGGTTAAGTGTTCAACCCTGAGTGAGGGATTGAGTGTTCAGCCTTGAGCGGGGGCTTGGGTGTTTGGGCTTGAAGCAAACAGATGACATAGAACCAGACAGAGGGTTTGAGAGGCCAGCTAACTTAGTCATGCCCTGCAGATGCTGCAGACCAGCCTGTCCTGCACCTAACACCCTCAATTCCAGTTTTCATTCCTAGTTCAATCTAGCTCCCTCCCCTCTCTATTAAGGCTTCTCTTCAAACTTTCTCCTACCTGGGTGTACCAGCTACCATATTTCCCTATGAAAGCAGTCAGATCTCTCCAGGTTTTATGTGAAACACCTCAACTTTAAATACTGATACTTGGAATTCTTATGAAACTGGGAGGCCCTCTGGAGCCCTGTGTAAACTTGAAGGTGGACATACTAAGTGCATACTATCACACTTGGCATAGATGCTCCAGCTAACCACTGGTCTGAGCAGCAAGTCTCAGTGGTACTTACGTATACTCCAGCTGACATCAGAAGATGGTGACTTCTTCCCCTGGGAACTTAAAACTGAACTCAGACATGCACACACATACACATAGGAAAAGCAGAAACTCTATCAAAGCCTGTAACTAGCTCATGACACCAAAGTTTCTCACTCTTCTATTGGCAAACAGGCAGGACCCAAAGAAGCACCTTGGTTTTTCAGAAGCAGGACATGTGGATAACCATAACAGGGCAACCTCCACACAGGATGGAGAAGTTGAGGAAAGGAAGGATTTAAAGAGCACTTCAGACAGGGGATGACAGAATGATGATAGAGCAGGTGGGCTGGACCAGAGCACACCCAACGCTTCACCCAAGGAGAGCTCAGGTCGCCTCCCAGGACAGTCATGGACTCACTGAAGGTAACTCAGGTAGGGTTAGATATAAGCAAAAGGAAGAAACAACTTCAGCAGGAACCCAGGCATGGGAACACTGTTGGAGGGTGGTGATGGGAACACCAGCGTGTGCACATGCCCAAACTGTATGCGCCAACTATATGTAGGGTCCTGCACACCAGTTACACCTCAATGAAACTGGGAGGGTAAACAAAACACACATGTTTCTCCTTAGGCCCAGAAGGCAACTGGTAAAGTACTCTCTTATGAACACACTTATTCAGGGGTCACCATGCTCTGGACAATTAAGTGGTTTGTCAGAAGGACAACACACAATGGTCCCACTACCGGCCAGATCCAAGCAAGTAGGGGGTCTGTAAGGAAGAGAAGGGGATCTGGCTGAAGGGGGCCCTTAGGGTCAATTGCCTTGAATAAAGGGCAAAGAGAGTACCCAAGAGGGGCCAGAAATGAGGGGGAGCATTGACAAGAGTACTTAATGACAGGTGACGATCATTGGCTCTTCTGATGAAGGTGTAGGAGTGCCAGGCTTAAGCCTAGAAATATGAATCCATGGGGTAAGTTGGTTATTAGGTAGTCTGAGTTTGACGGCCAAGGGAGTGCACATAATCACTTGAGCAGGACCCTCCCAGTTTGGTTTTAGAGGGGGCTTTTCCCCCGGTGGGCAATAGTAAAAAAGTTGACCAGGTGTTAAGGAGGTAGGGTTTTGAGAGAGACTGGGGTCAGGAAGAAGCCAGGCTTGATAGCGCCAGAGTTCAGAGCATAGATGGAAGAGGAGGGGCAGGGCATAGGTTTTGGAGATGGGTAGGCAGTCTGGGAGAAACGAGGGGACGGCCATTCATGACTTCGAAAGGTGAGAGATTAGAAGGCTTTTTTGGCAGGGGCCTAATGCGTAATAAAGCCAAGGGGAGCACCTTTAAACAGTTCAGGCTTAATTCCATGGTGAGCTTGGTGATGGTTTCTTTAAGGGACCAATTGGTCCTTTCAACCTTTCCGGTAGCCTGGGGGCGGTAAGGGCAATGGAAATGCCAAGGGAGTGATAGCATGTGAGCCAGTCCCTGAGTTATCTGCGAGGTGAATTCTGGGCCATTAACTGATTGAATAGAAGTGGGCATCCCAAAATGGGAGATTATGTGAGTAAGCAATAGATCAACTACCATAGAGGCCCATTTATTGGAAGTGGGAAAGGCTTCAACCCATCCCCAAAAAGTATCTACTAATACAAGAAGATATTTTATGTTTTGTGCTTGGGGCATGTTGGTGAAATCAATCTGCCAGTCTGCAGCTGGGGTATGACTGCGGGCCTGATGAGAAGGGAAATGTTTAGGTTTTAATGGAGTATTGGTATTGGTTCTCTGGCAGATCTGACAAGTGGAAGTGATCTGTTGTAGGAGGGTCTTATTGCGTGGGAAAGGGTGAAAAAGGAGTGAAAGAAAGTAGTAAGACTCTGTGGACTAGAATGGAATAGAGAGTGAAGAAAATGGAAGAGTTGTTGGGGATCTTTGGGCCGATCTCCGGGGGTAATGAAGAGTTGCAGAGAGGAGGTAAAGCTCTGTAGGGCCGCTGATGGAGCCTCTTGATTGGCCTTGAAATTCCCCATAGTAGTAAGGGAGGAGTCAGTTTGGTGGACCTTGCAATGGATTATTCCCAGTTAGGAAGGCAGCCTCGAGGCTCATAATAGGCCAGAAATAAGTGTGGAATTAATGACTGCCATCCCTCTGGTGGTCAGTAGCCCCTTTCTTTCCAAATGGCTGCGTAGGAGATCAGGATATGGAAGACATATTATATAGGATGATGGATGAGAGGGAAATGACAGCATACCCTGCTACTTTAACCCCTTTGTATATAAAGGGGCTACCATCTGAGAACCAGACGAGGTCTGAAGAGGGCAGGGGTCCCTCAGAAATGGTGGTAGGGCAGGGTAAAATCGTCTCTAATACCTCCAGGCATTTGTGGACAGGATCTTGTGAGTGAGAAGATGGGAGGAGGGAGGCAGGGTTTAATGGAGAGCAGGGCTGAAAAGAGATGGAGGGATTTTCAAGGAGAGACAAGGAGGGATAGAACCCTGGAAGGAGGAAGTGACTGTATCCCCCTTGTAAGTGAGAAAATCCTTTAATGGTGAGGAGATGAGATGGTTATCAGGGAGCCAAAGGTAAGCTTGTGTGCTTATTTCTGGAGGTCATGAGCTGCTGCTAGGGCTCTGAGGTATGGGGGCCAGCACCTGGTGATGGGGTCGAACTGTTTGGATAGGTAGGCCACTAGTGCAAATGTGGGGCCATATTCCTGACCTTGAATGCCAGACTTTGTCCCTGTTTTTATATAGAGAATGAAGGGTCG